AGCGCCAGCAGCACCGAAAGCACCCAGGCCGCGCCTAGTGCGCGAGTAACTGAGCCGGTGGTCAGTCAGCAGCCGACTGCCCGGCCACAGCAAGCCGGCAGTCCGACCAGTTAATGAACCGGCTGGTTCAGACCAGATTTTGAGTTGTTCAGTATTTATTGATTCGGTTCGAGTCCAGTACAGTATTTCAGTCCCGTTTTTAGTTAAATTTCAAGTTCAGTCCAGTTCAGTAAATTCATGTCAGTTCAGTTCCGAGTTTATTCAGTTTCAGTTATACCGGTTAAGTCCAAATATTATGTTTAAGTCCAGTAGAGCATCTTAACATATTAAACAGTTATTTTATCAGTCTGAGCGTAGTATTTAGTAGTTGTTTATATTAATTTCAGTTTGTTCAGGATCCAGATATCAGCACTTACATTTTCAGATCAGCAGTTCAGGTGGGGACTCAGACTGGGTATTACATTGGTTATAATTGCTCTATCATGTTTTAAGGTATGTATATGAGATATCCACTTTAGGTGGAGGCGCAGTAGCCTTAATTGCCCATCCAGAGTTCTGGTGGAGGCGCAGTAGCCTTAATTGCCCATCAGAGTGTGCACATGGCAGTTCAGTTCAGTTACAGACCTTGTGTCTGGAGATTACAGTTTACTTATATATACTTGCAGTCATGATATTGATATTATTATTAATGTTTACTTTAGTATGAGTTTCTGCGGATTACAGTGACTTTAGTACTCACGCTCCCACTATTATCATGTTTTTCAGGTCATGAAGTCGGGACAGAGGAGTGAGATGACGGAGCTGTTTTGGACTATGCTTATAAAGCTTAAATTGCCTAAGCTTTATGCTTATAAAGCTTAAATTATGTTTTGTACAATTTGAATTTGGCATACAGTGCCGTTGCTATTTTCAGATAACTTGTTTTCACGATCACGATACTGCTATCCAACTTCACCACTACAGTTTCCGCTGATGTTTTACTGTTCGTCATTCTTAGTCAAAGAAATCAGTCGGTGAACTGTTAGTTGGTTTTCAAAACCAAGAGTTCAGATTTTGCAGTCAGATATGTATTTTGGTAGGACTCCGAATCAGTATTTTGCAATGTAAAATATTTTATTTTGAATGTAATTGCAAAAAGCGCGCTCTGATTTTCATGTTAAGGCGGGGTGTCCAAATTGGGATCAGAGCACATTTTTGTGTATCTGAATACTTCACGAGTCAGAAATTTTAGAAAAACCCGAACACGTCACGCTCACGCCTCGCCGACTTTCAGGTAAGTGCTGATTAAGTTTTAAATTATAAACAATTTACTATTTCTATGCTCAGAAATTTCTCAGTTACGATGTAGTTAAGATGCTCGAATCATGTTCATGATCAGTAGTCAGTATACTCGGGATTTTATGTCAGTATTCCCCGGTCATGTTTAGCGACTCGTCAAGAAATTTGTGTACTTTATTGATCAGCTTCAATAAAGTCATTAATAAGGATGTCTGGGTCAGAATTCAGAACCTTAGAAGAGGCTAGGATTGAAAACTCTAGATTCAATTCTAGATTTATTCAGATTGAGTTAATGTCTTGTTCAATGATTTGTAAACATTTATGTTATACAAATCTTAGCAATCATGTTCCTCAGAAATTTTCTATCGAAAATTGCATGTTTTGCCAATTAGTTGGCACATTCCAAGGGAGAATTCCTTGAATTAGATCAGGGAATAAGCTCAATTTTCCTGAGTTAAGTCAGTAAATCAAGTTCAGGGCAAGATTTTTCATACTAAAGGTTGTTAAAATTTTCAAGTCATTGTCAAAGGTAACGGTTTCTAGTGTATAAGAGTCAATAAGTCCGGGTTACCATGGAGGCTTGAAATAAGAGCCATTAAGCTGGGTATACCATGGAGGCTTGAAGCTGAAATCGGAGCAGTATAGTTTCAGAAAGTAACAACCTTTAGAGTCAGTAAGTCAGGTATCTTACCAGTTAGATACTCTGAGTTTAGTTGACAAAGTTCAAGATCAGTTATTTATTCAGTACTTGCGGGACCAGTTGATACTGGAGCAGCCCTATATAGTACAAAGTCATGAGTCAATGTTCACGATTTAAAGGCAATGTTCATGTATTAAGGTCGACGTATAATAGTTGTTCAGCCGG